TTGGACTACCATTTACTAAAACTGATACTGTTGCAGTCGATAAACACTCCATAATCCATCTTTTCCACTTCATCCCAAAACTGAACCTATCCATTATCCAATCCAAAAATGACCAATCCACACGATCATAAGCCTTCTCAAAGGCAGCTTTAAAAACAAAAGTTGGTTGCTTTTTCCTTTTTACCTCATCCACTATTTCATTCAAAACTAAAACACTATCTACCAATTGCCGCCTTCCAAAAAGGTAGAGTGAGACGCATTAATAATCTCTGGCAACACTTGTTTGAGATGATTAGCCAACACATTTGCCAACAATTTATATAAGCAACCAATTAAACTTATTGGCCCTTAATCCCTAAGTTCCCTCGAGCATAACTTCTTAGGAATCAAAGCTAAAAAAGATGAGTTTAGGCCTTGCACTAACCTTCCATGCTGGTGAAATTCCATAAAGAACTCCACAAAATCACCCTTTAAAGTATCCCATGCAAACTTAATAAAATTAAAGTTGTACCCATCTGGACCCGGAGCGGAGCTTTAGATCCTTCACAGCTCTTCAAAGCTTCTTCAATTTCTTCCACTGAGAATGGTTTCTCTAACCACTCTTTACATTCCTCAGAAATCCATTTAAAACTAATACCTCCTAGCCTTGGACGATTCCATGAATCTGCTCGAAATAAGTTCCGGAAATACATAAGTAAAAGTCATATATGTATTGACATGTTAATACATTAACAAGCATAAACATTGCTAACTCATTAAACAAAATGTCTATATCCACTGCTTAAATTTGTTAGTACAAATGGATTCACCCTAAAATAAAAGAATAAATTATATGTCTAACAATATTATATGAGATACAACTTTTGTTAAAATAATATTTATATGTTAATTTTATCTATGTTGGTGATAATGTGGACCCTTATCCTAAATTTTCAATTGTGGTGCTTACATGAAAATTACTTCTCTCATATTTAAATATAAAAGTGAGTCCCATAAAGAAGTTACCCTCTCTGTTTGAAAATAAATGTTTTTTTTAATCTTTTAATTAATGATTTAGAAATAATTAACATATTTACCTTAATTATCTTTAAAACTCAATTTTGATTTAAAAATAAATTATTTTAGTCCTTTTTAATAAAATCTCATTGAAACAATGTAATACTAAGGTGTTTTTCCTTTTTTAAAAAAAAAAAATTTAATCAACAAATACTTTTAACATAAAATAAAATAAATAGATAAATAATTAATTTATGAATATTT